CTGGAGGGCGAGCTGGAGCAGTGGCTGGAGAAGTCGATCGGCTCGGGCGATTGGACGGCGAACGCTCGGCACATCACGCGCTCGTGGCTCCGGGACGGCCTGAAGCCCCGGTGCATCACACGAGACCTGCGCTGGGGGACGCCCGTGCCTCACGAGGACTTCAAGGAGAAAGTATGAACGCACAATCCTGAGATGTTGTTTCTAGTGCTGTCAACGTATTGTGTTAAAGGGATAGTTCACCCAAAAATGAAAATTAGCCCATGATTTACTCTCAAGTCATCTTAGGTGTATGTGACTTTCTTTTTTCAGACGAATACAATCAGAGTTATATTAAAAAATGTGGTGGATCTTCCGAGCTTTATAATGGCAGTGAATGGCCGTTTCTGTTTTGAAGTCCATACAATTATGCACTTTTATGATGGATAGATGCACTTTTATGATGGATAGATGCACTTTTATGATGGATAGATGCACTTTTATGATGGATAGATGCACTTTTATGATGCACTTTTATGATGGATAGATGCACTTTTATGATGGATAGATGCACTTTTATGATGGATAGATGCACTTTTATGATGGATAGATGCACTTTTATGATGGACAGATGCACTTTTATGATGGATAGATGCACTTTTATGATGGATAGATGCACTTTTATGATGCACTTTTATGATGGATAGATGCACTTTTATGATGGATAGATGCACTTTTATGATGGATAGATGCACTTTTATGATGGATAGATGCACTTTTATGATGGACAGATGCACTTTTATGATGGATAGATGCACTTTTATGATGGACAGATGCACTTTTATGATGGATAGATGCACTTTTATGATGGATAGATGCACTTTTATGATAGACAGATGCACTTTTATCATGGATAGATGCACTTTTATGATGGATAGATGCACTTTTATGATGGATAGATGCACTTTTATGATTGATAGATGCACTTTTATGATGGATAGATGCACTTTTATGATAGACAGATGCACTTTTATCATGGATAGATGCACTTTTATGATGGATAGATGCACTTTTATGATGGACAGATGCACTTTTATGATGGACAGATAGATGCACTTTTATGATGGATAGATGCACTTTTATGATAGACAGATGCACTTTTATCATGGATAGATGCACTTTTATGATGGATAGATGCACTTTTATGATGGACAGATGCACTTTTATGATGGACAGATGCACTTTTATGATGGATAGATGCACTTTTATGATGGATAGATGCACTTTTATGATAGACAGATGCACTTTTATCATGGATAGATGCACTTTTATGATGGATAGATGCACTTTTATGATGGATAGATGCACTTTTATGATGGACAGATGCACTTTTATGATGGACAGATGCACTTTTATGATGGACAGATGCACTTTTATGATGGATAGATGCACTTTTATGATGGACAGATGCACTTTTATGATGGACAGATGCACTTTTATGATGGATAGATGCACTTTTATGATGGATAGATGCACTTTTATGATGGATAGATGCACTTTTATGATGGATAGATGCACTTTTATGATGGACAGATGCACTTTTATGATGGACAGATGCACTTTTATGATGGATAGATGCACTTTTATGATGGACAGATGCACTTTTATGATGGATAGATGCACTTTTATGATGGATAGATGCACTTTTATGATGGATAGATGCACTTTTATGATGGACAGATGCACTTTTATGATGGACAGATGCACTTTTATGATGGATAGATGCACTTTTATGATGGACAGATGCACTTTTATGATGGATAGATGCACTTTTATGATAGACAGATGCACTTTTATGATAGACAGATGCACTTTTATGATAGACAGATGCACTTTTATGATAGACAGATGCACTTTTATGATGGACAGATGCACTTTTATGATGGATAGATGAACTTTTATGATGGATAGATGAACTTTTATCATAGATAGATGCACTTTTATGATGGACAGATGCACTTTTATGATGGATAGATGCACTTTTATGATGGATAGATGCACTTTTATGATGGACAGATGCACTTTTATGATGGATAGATGCACTTTTATGATGGACAGATGCACTTTTATGATGGACAGATGCACTTTTATGATGGATAGATGAACTTTTATGATGGATAGATGAACTTTTATCATAGATAGATGCACTTTTATGATGGACAGATGCACTTTTATGATGGATAGATGCACTTTTATGATGGATAGATGCACTTTTATGATGGACAGATGCACTTTTATGATGGATAGATGCACTTTTATGATAGACAGATGCACTTTTATGATAGACAGATGCACTTTTATGATGGATAGATGCACTTTTATGATGGATAGATGCACTTTTATGATGGACAGATGCACTTTTATCATGGATAGATGCACTTTTATGATAGACAGATGCACTTTTATGATAGACAGATGCACTTTTATGATGGATAGATGCACTTTTATGATGGATAGATGCACT